GTGCTAACTCTTTTATCAAGATACTAACAGTATTATCATTACTCCGCCACAGTTTACTACAAACATTAAACTGAAAATATTCTTCCTTAATTCATAACCTGCGTACATTATTTTCATTCATATAACTTGTCCCCACACTAACATTAGTTCTATTAGTGAAAAAAACCATAGTAAATGGAACACACTGTCTGAATCTTGATATTAGAGAAATTAATTTCAACACACTTGTGCTTTCTCTTCAATTTCATGTTGTCTTCACTAACTGCTCCACGAGCATTCTTTTATTATTAGTTCTATTCTCATAATGTACCCCACACAATACTAACAATATTGTTTCTCTTCTCACATTTAGTCATTTTAATTTTTCTAGCAAAATATTACAATTGAATCTTAATCAAGAAATTAATCATATTCAGCAGGTGTTCTATGATTTATTTGTGAATCTCTCTATCTATATATGTTCTACTATTATCTGCTAGATAATTATTTTTTTTATTTATTCTTGTCAATATAATTTCTGTGAAGTGATTAAATTCTGAAAATGTTTTTATTCCACCAAAAAATTAATTGACTTACTGGTAGTCAAATGGTTTTGAAAAGATGATAAATGAAAGAATAATGGTGACAGCTTTCCGACAAGTTGTGACTGTCACAGCAACAAAGGCACCAAAAGTTCTAATAAGGGCTAGGACGAGCTGAACTCCACAAAACCCGGCCAGAGAAAACATAAAGCCATAACCATAGGTTTCCATAGGATGCTAAAAAGAAAAAGATCACAAAATTATATGATGTGCATGAAACACCTAAACTTAGAAAAGATATTACAAAAACATGTACACATGGTTGTATGAAGATCAGCAAAATTTAAGATTTTATTAAATTTAATGCATTAAGTACACCAAATTCAGACTGTAGAAACTTTAACCACATTGCTACCGTGAAATAGGCTGCTTTGAACAAAAAGTGATGCAACTTTTTACCACTTCTGCCAAGTTTCTTGACTCAACTTCTACACCTCCTCACTTCCTGTCTTACAACAATTTTCTTGGAGAATGAATGCTACTGAAAATCCTTGCAGAGATTGTGTTCATTTTTAGTCAATTTGTGCATGTTTTCTGCATTTTTAAGAGAAAAAAGATGGAGGTGTGGAGTCTCCTTAAAATAATCTGCAAATATTTAAAATAAGAAATTTAAAGTGTTTTACAAGAGCTTTAAAAAGAAAGCCCATTACGGACTGGAGTTCACTTTTACTTGTAGACTTTAACCAGGTGCAGAGCTGGGTATGCAATTGGCCTCATAAAAAAATTAGTTAAACTGCACATCTACTTAATTTGTTAGAACTAATTAATGCTTGAAGATCAGTGATTCCAAGATGTAGGTTTAATCCAGAAGGTTGAATGGTATATAAAGTCTTTTATTTCTCTATCAACTATAGTTTTGAAATCAGTGTCAATATCCACGAGAATCACATTATTAACAGAATGACCAGATTTGTTGAAGTGTTGGGCAGTTGGATGTCTTTATTGACGTTAAAAAAAAAGATGATTGTTGAAATGCTCTCTAAGAGTCATTTGGGTCTGTCCTACATTATGATGATTGCATTTTCACACTGTATGTAGTAAAAGGTGTTGTGTGTTTTTCAAGAAATTTATTTAGTAACTTGAAAGTTTTTTTTGTCATATTAGGGAGAAGAAAAAAAAACACTTGTTAGATATGAACTTGCAAGTTAGACAACAAGCTTTGTTACATGAATAAAACCATTCTGTGGTGGGTTGTAATTCACTTTTACATGAACAAAAATATCTAAGATTTCAACTCTTCTGGAAGGAAACAACAGGAACTTAAGGAAAAAATGTCATAATAAATGAAAATGTTTTTTCAGAATACACAAACCATTTCTAAGTTTGAATTGGTAGATAATAACAAAAGGAATGGCATTACGCTGTTTGAATCATCATATTCCATCATGTCTCTCATGCAAATCATCATGCATCATCTCTGAACCAATAGTAGCATTACATGCTCACGGGATGCATGTGACTCTCTCTATACTCCTCTACCGAAGCTTCACTTCAATGTTTGGCAGAAGGCATGAGCACTGGAAAAGTGAGGAGGAACGGTGGGAAGTGTAAGCAGAGGTAAGAACCTATCAGAAATACATTTTCGGTATAGGAAAATTATAACTTCCGATACCGTACTTACCTCCTCTCACAAGATTAGCTATAATCCCACATTAAAAAGAAGGAGTGACCAGTGTCAGGGAAGAAAGAAGTACCCCTGCAAGCATCCAAAGGATACCCCTGACCATGGGAGATATAAATCCAAAGATCTGAAGAGGAGACCCTTGCCACTTCTGACCCAGGTATACTTTTTACCCTGTGTAGTGAGTGTCATGGATAAGGGCAGAAATTGTGAGGTGTAGAGTGGCTAGTGTGTGTCAAACCGTACTCGGTTAGTCAACTACATCCAAAACCTATTTACATGGGGGTAGGATGAGGATCATACTATTTTCACCTCAAACCCAAGAATCAGGGATTAAGATTGGTACAGATTTGTGGGTATGCCTCAAGGATTCTCCCTGTTTTATCAAACTGGGAATAGACATCTGGTATAAAAAGGATGTTGATCACATATAATCAACTCCCTCAACTGTGGCATAGGCCAGCACCATCCAAAGGCAATACCATCCCCATAAGATGAGAATGAAGGATAGTCAAGAACAAGTACTGGAACAATCCCACATACTACCACTGTGACTAAAGACAAAGACAGAGCAATTTAGGGAGGAAAATAGACAACCTGTACTTGTGGGAGGACTTATGTTGATTGATTCACTCTAATCCAAAACCTCAACATTGGGAACCAACTTCCACGAGAAGGTAGGATGAGGTCTCCCAATCAAAGGGGTGAACTGCAATTGTGACGGCTCAACTCCAGTATGTATGTAAAATGTATCAGGAGGCCACATCATCCATTAAGGTGATGGTTCAACTCCAGTGTTTGTGTAAATAGCATCAGGAGGCCACATCAACCAGGAGGGCAATGAATCAACTCCAGTGATTGTATAATAGGTATTAGGAGGCCATGTCAACCAGAAGGTGACGTCTCAACTCCAGTGGTTGTGGAAATGTTAGTAGGAGACCACATCATCTGTGATGGTGATGGCTCGACTCCAGTGCTTACATAAACGTTAGTAGGAGGCCACGTCATCTGTGATGGTGATGGCTCGACTCCAGTGCTTACATAAACATTAGTAGGAGGCCACATCATCTGAAAAGGTGACAGCTCAAATCCTGTGGTTGTGTAAATGGAAGTAGGAGGCCATGTCAACCAGCAAGTTTACGGCTCAACTCCCCCAGAGGCCACGTTGCATCTACACCAGCAGAACACCACCACGCTGCTCTCAAGTAAATTATTTGAAATTTTTACATGTGGAACTCATTCAGGAGAGTGCCTCTTTGGTCAACCATCCCAGCAGCTTGGAACTGGAAGTGGTAAGGACTCCCATACCCCAATTAAGGAAAGGAGGGTGACAATGCAGTGGGTGACCATGAAACTCTATTTTGAAAAGCAGACCATACCTGGTTATTTACTTGAGGCATGACAGGGATGGGCAGCAATCCCCTTCTACTTTACCCATGTAGTCCATATGGAATACCCCATCTCTATGGTGAGTGTGCAAAGCCATGGATAAGAGAGCACGAGTCAACATGGCTGACAGTGCGGATTTAGAGTTAAAGAATACAGAGTGGGATCCATGATAAAAAGGAAGAGAAAAAGCCCCTGACGAAAAAGGAAAATGAAGAAACTTACCAGTTAAAGTTGCATCAAAGTCTGGAGAATGGCCACAAGTGGTAGACGAAACCCCAATGCAGAAGAAAGCATATGATGAAGATAGTGGAAGATAAATGTCCTGGGAGTGGTCCACATACTGGATTGTAGAATCTTCTCCATCAGATGAAGAAGACGAGATGCCTGATCTGATGGAAGAAAACATGGAACAGTGTACAGGAGAAAGAAGGCAGGGAAGAGGATGCCAAACGAACCAAAAGGTGGACCCAATTCACCAGGTTAGAAGGGGAAGGATCACGAAGCGAGGAGGATTACCAGGGGATTTAAAGATAGTTGTGTGTGCTCTGAAAAGTAATAATAACAACAAGGGCCCTGACTGGACACAGAAACCTATCTGGATCCAGTCCAGGGTAATGTTGGGACATAGAATGAAGGAAAATAGGAGAAAAGGATGAACAACCCTCTTAAGCTGCTGAAGTCTTTGGGAGAAAGAAACGATCGGAATAAAGGAGAAGATAGGTTGGGTGATATAGGGTACATGAAATGGTAATGGCAAACAAATCATACCATCAATGACCACAGGCCAAGAGAAGAAGGGAATAAGTTTTAAGAGACAGATGAAACAAGGAGCATGAGGAAAGTGGTTCAAACAGAGGTAAAGTAAGGGCATGGAGGACCACATTAATGTCCCAATCCAGAAGGACAGGATGCCTTAGTAGCCTCTGAATCCTGAAGGAAAGCATGAGCTCCGTAAGAACAGCAGAAATAAAAATCTTACAGTATCGGGAAAAATTGAAGGTATGGGATAAGGCTGCCCAATATCCAGAAAGCAAGTTGACCCACAACCCACAGTTGAAAAGTCAGGTAAGAAATTCCAAGCCTACAGAAGGCTTGTCAACAGGAAATCCCCTGTTAGCAGACCAACAGTGGAAGACTTTCCACTTACACTGGTATACTTTCATGGAAAAAGTCTGTAAGGAACAAGCTAACAAGGAGGTGACTTGACATGTGAAACTAGATTGTCTCTCCTAAGACCAGACAAAAACCAGGTGTGAAGACAGACGATGGGGAGATTGGGATGAAGAACATGGGGCTAAGGTTGACAAAGAGGGGAAGGAGATAATGGAAGAGGTACAGGTGGAGCAGACATTGTAACCTGGGAAACCAAGGTTGTGCTGGCCAAAAAAGTGCAACCAGGAGGACTCGGCAAGGAGTGGACCAGAGCATCAACCACCAAAGCCTGAGGATGTGGTACATGTGACCAAAAGAGGGGCAACTTGGTATTGAAGCCCATAGCAAAATCATGCAATTGGGGAGAACCCCCCGCAGTGGCAAAGATCTCTGAAAAAGAGAGAATCTAATGCCCAATCTGTTAGATAGATCTAGCCTGGTCATGAAAGACGATGTATGATGAGATTGAAAGCACCCAGCACATGACATGCGATAAGATGAATGTTATGTGCAAGGACTCAGTATAAGAGCTCCAACACCTGAAAACAGTAGTCTCTGGACTGGGTGCCCCCTTAGTGGTGGTTGTGAGTCACCATTGTAGAGTTGTCAGAATAAACCATCACCAGACAATGACAGGGAGAAGAAGTAAGTGATGTAAATCCCGACGTACTGTTAGAAGTTTGAGAACATTGATAGCAAGACCTTGAAGGGATGCATCCATGAACAAATGTAGATCTGGACGTGGGGGAGGAAGTGGCATGCCAACTGACGTATGAGCTTTGTCCAGCCACCAGTGCAGATCATCTCTCAGGGAGATGGGGAAGGAAAGAGAATACCGGGCAAGGTTCCATCATTCGTGAAGCACCCATTGCAGGGATCTTATGTAGGCACGACCAAGATGGACAAGTGTAGTCATGGAGGACCACATCCCCAAAAGTGATAGAACCTCATGAGCAGTAAGTGACCAAGCCAAGAGGGCATGGTGAACTAAAAATTCCATGGATCGAAGACATAAAAGAGAAGGCAAAGATCGACTGAGACTGGTGTAAAAAAAACAGATGTACAAGATATTGAGTGGGTCGAAGGAATGACTTCTCCAATTTGATCAACCAGTCCACCTGATCCGCAACAGAAAGAGTTGGTGGGTATGATTGGTCAATTCCTGTTTGAAATAAGCCAGTTGTCCATGTAATAATGAAATTGCATTCCCAGAGCATGAAGATGATGAGTAAATGTCCAGACTATGCAATAAAACACATAAGGTGCCAATGCGAGTCTGAAGGGAAGGGCCCAAAATTGGTAATGCATCCCGAGATGGTCAAATTGAAGATAAGGTCGAGACTGCTGGGCTATCAGGATGTGGAGGTAAGCATTAGAGACATCCACAATCCTGGTGAAAGTGATCATTTCAGGGTGAGAAAAGCCTCGGGAATACAATGAAGCAGTTGAGGTGAGATAAACTGATAATCAGCCGCCAATCCCCTAGTTTCTTGGGGACCATGAAAAGACGGGAAAAAAAAACCCTGGAAGGTTGGTGGACCAATGCGATAGCTTGCTGCAAAATCAAATCATGAACTGCCTCGGACAGACACTGGCAACCCATGGAGGAAGGAGAAACAGGAGGAGGTGAAAGCAACTGGACAATGAAACCTTCTGAGAGAACCCTTATCATCCATTGATCATCAACAAAGGGATGCTAGCGAGGAAGAAACTTCAACAGTCAAGCTCCCACCAGCCCGGAACCCACAGGGTAGTCACCAGTACTGCTGGCAACAGTTGTTACATCACCAAGGATATTGACAAAAAAAGTACCTCAATTAGAAAGAACAGGCAAGGGTTGGGAGGATGAAGGACAGGAAATGGGAATAGGTGGCATATGAGACTCTGACTGAGAGAAATTGGTAACGGAGGATGTGAAGGTGGAATGCTGATGGGCTGGTGTAACCCGAGGCTTGATGGTTTCTGGGATTGTACCAAAGAAAAGGAGCATATGTTGAGGGTAAATTGACCTGAGCCAATACAGCATCCCTACCAATAAGGTTCCAACAACAACAAAAAACACGTATGTAACACTGAGCCGAGGACAAAATGTGGGCTAATATGGAGGAGAGAAGGTGCAGGGTATCGGCAGAAAACCCATCAGGATTTCTGTAAAGAGCCTCCAAGAGGAGATGTATGGAAGAAAGATACTGTAGAAAGTTGGTTAGGGCAAGACAAAGACATGAATATTGGGCATAGGTAACACTAACATTAGATTCGGGAGCCCAGCCCAAAAGGTAACAATGAACCCAAGAAGGGGCATGCTGATCCCCTCACTTAATTGAGACAAATTGATCAGCATGTACCTGAATACCTGGGGAGGGAGGAAATACCAAAAATAGTTGACAATAGTTCATGTAACAGAGAAGAGCGAGGTGAATAAGAGATGGGGGAAAGGGAAAAAACATCACAAACCTGAGACACAAAATTAGTGAAAACTGAATTAGGTCTAGACGAATCCTCAGGTTGCAAGTGGGAAAGAACAGCAAACTCTGGAGGCAAGAAAAGATGGTCAAAATCCTCGTCATTTTCAAGAATGTCTGCTGATTCAGAAGGAGCCTGGGCGATGTCAGGGGAACAAGTTTGACCCATGTAGCATTCAATCTTCTGATGTATGAAAGCAGAAAGATCTACCATCGAGTCGCCTGCACCCGAGGCCTGAAAAACACCACTATTCAGTGGTGTGACTCCTGAAGTGGTTACATGAACTTTAGAATTCATAACTCACAAAAATATATACACAAATGGTTGAGTGTTGCAAAAATATTTATAGCAACAAAATGAACTGGTTGTTAGAGAAGAAATTAAAAGTTAATCTAAAAAAAAAAACTTTTGTCGAACAAATTTTTTCTCCTCGTGACAAAGAAGCACGATAAAACAAAAAAGAAGACATTGGAACTCAAACACTGCCAAATGAGAAGTGAAGCTTCGTAGAGGAGTATAGATGGAATTACATGTATCATGTGAGCATGTCGTTGGTTAAGAGATGACGCATGATGATTTGCATGAGACATGTTGGAATATGATAATTCCAACAAAGGGGGTGGGAGTGAGTGCAAGTCTTATGGCATGCATAAAGTTTGCATATAGGGGGCTGCACTGAACGAGAATAGCTAATCTTGTGAGGTAAGTACCATATCGGAATTGGTTGTCCAAATAAAAAATGTGATCTATGTAGAATTTCCAAGTGTAAGGTTTCACAGGGCTTTGTTGTAAGAGTTGTTGTCTTTCAATATGGCCCATAAATATGTTGATAAAGTTAGGTTTCATCTTGGTACCCTTTATGGTTCTATTTATCTGAAAATAATGTTTGTTGTTAAACTCAAAGTTGCTAAGAAAGGAGATAAAACAAGACTGGTAAGATTGGTTACATTTTGAGATTTGGGTTGAAAAGGTTTAGGGCAGCTTTTAGAATATCAACCCCTAAACTGTATAAAATATCAGTATATATGGAAAAAACATCCATCATACAAAGAAGGCTGTTAAGAAATAAATGTACATTGTAAATGATTTCTTCAATTATATTAATAAAATGAGTCCTGTCCCTTATGTAAGAATGGAGAGCACATGAAATATCTTTGGTGGTCAACAAAAGCAGAAAGCTTTTCAATAGCTTTGTTTATATTAGAAATTATTGCATGGGCAGGATTATTAAGTTTGTGTATTTTTGGTAAGAGATAAAATCTACCTGGAAAAAACTACTTGCATGTCAAGTACCGGTAGGTTTCTTTGTCAGTTTTCTTGTTTTAGAAGAGTTCTTTAAGTTTATAACTGATGGTTTTAGTAAAACAAGCTGTAAGTTCCCGTGTGAGTTTCTTGTAGAAATTAGTGTCCTCAAGTTGAAAGTTGACTTCAATAACAATCTTCTTTGATAAGTATAACAATAGCTTCAACTTTGTCCATTGTCTTTATTACAATCCTGTTGTTAGAGTCAAGGTCCTTTCTTTTTGGTTCAGATTATTATGACATTGCGTGAAAGATTTTAAGGTTTGTTTTATGTCATTTTCTACAGCTTTAATATAGTTCTCTAAATGTGGTCCTCTGTTTAGTGGAGGTATCCAAGAGGACCTTTCTTTGAAAATCAGAGTATGTTAGTTGTCAGCAGGGTGAAATCTGTTGAATGTTTGTTTGCTTTAGAGCAAAGCCACATCTGGTTATCTGCTGTGTCCACTGCAGGAAATTGAACCTGATTTTAGCATTGTAAGTCTGTAAACATACAGCTGTCCCACCAGGAGACAGTCTGAGCTGTCAGAAAGAATTCATTAACAAAGCTATTGGTCAAACAGAAGCTAAGACCTTTACTAAGGAGACTGAGCTTGCCATTTGAAAGATTAATTACATTGGAAACATTGGGAGAGAGTTGATTATTATTTACAGAACTTATGAAAGGGCTCATGTCCAATAAAAGATAAAGTGTTTTAAAACGTTTGTTTTGGATTTTCATGATAAAAAAATGGGGAACTGGTAGTTTCAGGTAGAGTACCTGGTACAGTGGTAAAATCATCATAAAAAAAGAGAAAGGATGATGATCAAAAATAGTGTTAAAATAAGTCACAGTTTTTGAATTGGTTATATTTCTAAGAAACTGTTTATTTATTATTATTTTTAAGAAGGAATGAATCAGATCTCTGTATCAATTTATGAAGTTTTTCTTCTTCCAGTGAAGGGTTGGAGAGGTGACCATGGTAACAACTTTCATTAGTTACAATATTAACAGAATTTTCAAACAAGTTCTTAGTAATATTCATGAGTTCTCAGAAGGTATTTTTGAGAATCTGGTGCTGTTTGTTGCAGACGTTTTGGTCATGAGCTCCTATTGTGACAGATGTTTTGAGTGTGGGAGAGAAGATATGTTTCTATTATTTATATTACAAAGTATCAATTCAGCGTGTTGATAGTATCTGGTGCATTTCTTCGTAACCTTTTTATGTTTATGAAAAAGTTGTTTTCTGCAGTAGTTAAAAGATTTACAATGTATTATAGATATGTTAATATTATTGTTATGACAGCAGAAGTCACGTGACGCTGGTAACCCGTAATGAGTATCTTGAACGTTCCCGAAGGCTCGAGTGTTTGCCAGACGCCCTCTATTTTGTATATATAAGATCGGCGAGAAGTAACAGCACAGAGAATTGAATAGCAGACAGGGAGATAGAGACAGATAATCGAGTCAATGTGTAAATCATTGTGAATTATAGCGTGTGTTTAAGTTAAAGTGACTGTGGAAATTAAGTGTATTGCAAAGTTGTATTGAGAAAGAATAAACTAGTTTTATTTAAGAAAGAACTTGTATTGCTGAAGTTCTTCCGAAAGAATTTTTACGAGTAATTAACAAACGACCAGAGACATAACATTATATATGTTACAGAGGCAAGTCAGCATGTTGATAGTATCTGGTGCATTTCTTAGTATGTTTTCTAAGTTTCTGAAAAAGTTATTTTCTGCAACAGTTAATGGATGTACAGTGTTATAGATCGATTATTGTCAAATACTGGGTTGAAAATGTCACTGGAATGGTGAAGTAACGAACGAGTTCAAGGGTAGGAAGAGTTGATTTGCTGTCTTCTTTAGAAAGTAGTAAAATGGTATGATGCAACATAAGATTTAGGTTGAAGATCATTATAAGAGGTGATGCTAATAGAAGATGGAATAAGAAGTTTTGATGAAGAAAGCTAAACAGCAGAAGAGGGGACACAGTTGTTTATAACATGCAGTAGTTATGGTAGCATTGCCTCTGGATAGTTTCAAAGATAGAGAAGTGGAAGGTGAAAGAATTTGGGAAGAATGGGTAGCAGATAGAAGAGGCACAAGAATAATGAATTTTTTTAGTTGGGGGAACTAATTACGGGTGGGACAGTGTAATTTCAGTTGGTTTCTTTAGAAGAACCAAAAGATGTACCTGGAGGAATGCTGAGAAAAGGTGGATAAGTTGTTTGATGGGAAGAATGAATAGCATAAGCACTAGAGAGTAACACACTGGTAGTTGCAAAGTGGAGAGGAATGTGGAGTTTGGATAGGAAAGGGTAGAACTGGTAATAACAGCTAAGTGAGATGGTTGGGGAACTTTGAAGAGGAAGACAATACAGGGGGAGTACAGTATATAATAGTGTGTATATGTTTCATTAGTGTTTTATAAAGTATTTAGCAGTAAAAGTTTATGTTTTCATACAAACAAAAATTATGATATTTATAGATTTTTATTTATCTATAATCCAAATAGTGTAATTTTCATGCTGTTCTGATAATGTTGGTTTCAAAATGTGAGCTATTATTTTCACCCTTGTAAATTACAACAAATGTTTTAACATATATACCACTCTTTCAAGCTGTTAATTTCTGATATAATAATTTTTGTTATAAACATATTACATACACTGAAATTATTATTATTTTTTTTATATTATGGATGGGAAGGACTTCTCTACAAACTACTTATGATAGCAGGTTGTGAAGAGACGTGTTTCTATAGAAGCTGGTGACATGGACATGGTTGGTGTTCCACATATTGCTATAGTTCTTAATGAAGGATGGAGTAGGAAAGGTTATGGATGTAGGTACACTGCAAGCTCTTGAATAGCAGTTATTATTGTCAAAGAAGAAAAAATTCTTGTTCATAGACATAAAAAATAACTTTTGTTGTGTGTGTGTGTGTGTGTGTGTGGCAGCAGCAAGGAAAGAAGAGAATGAGCATGTTTGTTATGGAAACTGGAACGAGTTCCCCTCTAGTGCAATGGAGTCTGGTGTAATTGTAGAAGGATTTCTAAAGGATTTTACACAGTTTTTTTTCTCTACAACTACAATCAAGTATGGGAAAAATAACATAAGAAGAGATCTGCTAAAGGAATGTGACCTATTTGTGTAAATAAAGAATGGACCCTCTTCAGATTTATTAATAGTATCTGATGGTATTAGTGAATTTAAGTGCATGCCAAAAGCAGAGGGAATGACACCCTTACGGGCTACTCTGTCAGTTAAAAGTTTCTTTTGTAAACAGTTGAAAATACACAAAACTGAAAAATATACATACATATCATTAGCTATGTCAACTACATATAGTTTGGAAAAATATTTACGTGATTTCATGATTTCATTATTCAGTTAAAACTGAAAGATAGCAAATATTAGGTCAACTACATCTAGTTTGTAAAAACATTTAACAAGTTCATTGTTTGGACACCTCAACATAAGTACTGAACGAATCACTCAAGATAATGATTTTTGGACAGCTTGGAACAGTTATATTTTCAAGCGCTCTTGTTTTAAAAGAAGCACATTATGTTCTTGAGACTAAAAGAAAGGTAAGAGCCAGAAAGAAAGAAAATTAATAGGAAATAAATACAAGTACCATAATAATTCTGAATATCCCACACCTGGGATCCTGTACTATTTTCATACTTTTATGTTTGAGATATGGTAAAATGGTGACAATTTATTTTATTCCGAGATTTTTTTTACGGGTACAAAGTTCTACCTCACAAAATTTGGATTTCAAAGTTAATTTTCACTAAGTAATGTAAAAAGTATGAATGAAATACATTATAAATTTAAAGTTTGGAGACAGCTTGGATGGGTAATGAAAGAAACTTGATTACAAATGTACAATGTTTCAATAAGTTTATTTCATCGTCAGGTACATGTAGTTTACATAGGCCTATCAGGTATAAGAGGCCTACGTAAACTACTTGTACCCGATGATGACATAAACTTGTTGAAATATTCTACATTTGTAATAAAGTTACTTTCACTACCCATACAAGCCAATCTCCAAACCTTAATTTCTAAAAAGGGGGTTCCTTGTCATCAAACATTATAAATTTATAAATTAATTCTATATTCTAGAGTCATTTCACTATAATATTATAAATATTAAGTTAAACAGGCCTTCCAACAGACCCCTCAGGAAAATTAGGAACTTCAGTAGAGCAAAGTTTTTCAAAAAGTAAGGCTGTTAGTAGGTAAAAAGCAGAAAATAACACAGAAGCATTAGTCACTGTACTAGATGAGCAAGAACCAGCAGAAACTTTTCTGCAGCTGGATTTATTTCCACTCTGTTTTGTAGAATAGTTTTCACTGGTTACAACTAAACTTCCTCTTAGCCAATTTTTTGTGTTATCTTCTTATGCATATTTCAAGATTTGTTGTTTGTTACTATTATAACAAGTTACTGTTATTTGACAAACATCACAGAAATAGTGAAACTGGTCATTTAGCGCTGGCTGACGACAACAATAACATGAAAGATCGTGACCATTATTGTCTACACACAGATTAACCATTGGTGCTGGAATTGTTTTTCCATACAGCATTTTAGCTTTCTACACTACTCTGAAAATATAAAACTTGTTAAAGAGGTTGTATCAAGCACAACAGCCATGGACACATGATTTTAACAAGTAATGAAACATCAAGTGCAAGTAATATCTGTTAAAACTATCAAAAACTACTCATTTTGGAGCATGAATGACTAGAGCTGGATGATTTGTTCAATTATGTATGAATAGTGATTACATCGATTAGTGTTCCATAAACTAACTGATTAACCAAAGTTACATTTGATCAATTAATGGAACAAAAATAACCAACTAATCAAAATTAGTGTTTCTAATTATTACCATTTTTGATTATTCCAATAACTGATTAATTGAATTATCACAAAAATAATTGACTAATCTAAATTAGGGTTTTGATTATTCCAATTATCCAAATAAATAAGCACAAAGCTACATAATGGATGGTTGGGGGGGGGGGATGCTTCGTGGCGTGAGAGTATCGGATTTGATTCCTGTTGTCACTAAATTTGCTTGTCTTGTCTTTGTTTTTCAAAGCTACTAAGATTACCTGCCACTGTCACTAATTTTGAACTGCTGACTAAGAGAAAACAACTGCCTAGTAGCACCCATTGCCAACACTCTGGCTACTTAACTACTTAAGTATTAAATAAAGTGTAAATTTACTGTTTTTTGTTTTACACTGTGTAATGTTTCTAATTTCTAATTACATAAATATATTCTTTAATGTTGTATAAGCAGGTGCATTTGTGGGGGAGATCCCCATCCATTTTTGTTCTAGAAAGTAATAGTGGTATTCTTTAATGTTGTATAAGCAGGTGGGAATCTAGGGGGGGGGGGGATCAAAGGGGGGCAACCTCCCATAATCTTTTTCAGAAATTAACAACTGTATTAATTAATGTTATACAAGCAGGTACAGATGATTTAGGAGAGCAGTCCAGGTCCTTCCACCTATTTTTTCCAGAAACTAATAACTGTATTATTTAATGTTGTATAAGTAAGCACATATCAAGAAATAGTATTGCTTGGGACAAAATATTTGTTACAAAATTGATTTTTTCATTGTTTGGAAGTTATAATACTTACAAGAAAGATGTTTTTGTACTGTTTATATTTAAAATAAGCTAAGATGCAAGTTCTATGACTGTATAAGTAAAGGCTTAGAGAAAAGTGAAAAGAGGAATCTTGTTTACGAAAGCTAAAATACGAAATTTAGGTATGAATTTCATAACTTTTTTTTCTAAATATAATTACAACTATATATTTTTTATTACAATATTTGAAAAGTTTGTTCAGCTGTTTTTATTTTAATATCAAATACATTATTAGCAATAAAGACATTAGCTTTTAAATCTTTGGATTACAACCCAACTGAGCTATTCCTAATGATTTTGTAAATTTTCTAATTGATATTCTTTCCAAAATTAAAAGTAGTGTGTATTTAAATATAATAAAGACAATGAAAGTAATATATATTTATCAGTAGTATTAGTATAGGTTTAACAATATCATGAATTTCCCATTTTTGGGTAGCAGTTTCTCAAAGTGTGGATCTTTAACAACATTGACATTTCTCTAATTTATTTCTTATGAACATCAGTATTATTAAATATCATGTTTCGGTTTTGCACATGTTTTGAAAAATAATTTTATTTCCAACAATGATTATTTGTAATTAAGCACAAAGCTACACAATGTGCTCTGCCCACCATCAATTTATTCAATTTGCAGAAGATAAATGTGGGATTACTATGTATTTGAGGAACAAACAATGGTGGTATTAGCTGACATTAGTGATTTATCTGCCAAGTAGGAAATGTCCATTAAACTTATGGGAAAATGATTTTGACTAAAAAATTTTTTTTCTCAAATCATTAATTGTGTAAAGAAGGTGATTTTTGCCAATACAATGCTAGCTGGCAAATTTTTGTGAAATCCTGCTTGCAAGTGTGAAACTTATCAAAATCCCACTTCAGTTCTACATCAGATTTGCAGTCATCATCAATCTCCATGAAACATATTTCATACCACACATACAATGAATTTCATGGAAACAAAATCTTCAAATGAGGTCAGGACCATCCTATACCAGCCATAGCAAGCAACACATTCATATGAAGCTTTCATCAGCATTTATCACAACAAAACACTTCTGATTTTTTTGACAAAAGTATCTCAAAAAAAGCGAACAACAAAATCTTCAAATGTTAGATGTTTGTGTACAGAAGTTGTTGCCAAATTATAATACAATGCAAAAAAAAATGTATTTTTTTATGCACAACCTACATAAAAGATGTGTTCTAAAGTATTTTTACCACAGGAAAAGATGGCAGAGTTGGATTTTTCTTTCCCATTTTGACAACTAAAATTTTAGTCAGTAGCCAATTTACTAATGACATATATGAGCTAGCTTAACCCTAGAGTCCATAACCAATTACTAATGACATATATTAGCTAGCTTAACCCTAGAGGCCATAACCAAGATATGGTATACAGCCAAGATACAAAACATCATCTATATTGGAAGAAGGGGCTTTACAACCTAGGTACTCATCATTATATTATTACCATAGATTGTGAATAACCCTCACCATGTACAAAAAATACACACACACACACATATATAAATGTTCTGGATATATCTCTAGTTAATAAATTACATTTAACAAGAACAACTACAATTTTAAAACTGTTTAAGTAAATGAATTGTTTCATTTGCTTACCTGTGCACAAAATAAAAAAGCAGGACCAAGCTGACCCAGCACTATCAAAATAATAAAGATGTAAGCTAGGCCAATAGTGTATGAGTAAAAAACCTGAAAACACCCACAGAACAGTAAGCAATGACACAATTACTTCTCCAACTAAAGTACATTAAAAGTTAATTCAATTGTTCTCTTTGTAAGAAACGAGTTAACAGCCAATAAGTTCACTTGCTATTAAAATATCTTATTTCTGAATAAACAAGTCACAAAAGCAATTAATTGCATTAACAATTAAAAATATACCTGAGAAAAAGTTAAACAAACTAAGTTTCAAGAATTTTTGTTACAGTTTTTCCACAAAATTTTTTATTTTAGTAGTTGTGCCTCATGTTTATGCATTATATTATTTAATGAGGTGAAACACAAGAATAACTTACATGGACCAAAGTAAAGCAATTACATTAGTTTCTCAGTATATAATACTATGCTCTGCTAAAAAAATTCACATAACTTACAACTTCCATATTACTGGCTGCATGCACCTTCATGGATTTTTCTTGCACATTACCAATGATTGCATCTGTTACTAAAGCTGAAGAAATCAGAAGAACCCCTACAATTTAGATAAGAAAAAATGAGAAAGGTGATACAGAACACAAAAAAGTTTCATTGTGCGGCTTGTGAGCTTTGATTGCCAGTATGAAACTCGAAAATTCAACTTCTTGCCTCACCAAACAAAATTACTAAAAATGCATTTTCTAACATAACAGAATACTTTCCAGTTTAATTTTGAAGAGATTTAATCTTTAAAGTAACTGCAGTTGATTTGTTTGATTCTAGAAAGACATGTCCTTCAGGTTCATTTCAGAATTAGCGAGTTTAACAATAAAAAACACGAATTTGAGGAATAACTTCAGAGATATTGTTTAACTTTGAAGACATGTGAACCACTGAGTAATCCAAAACACAGGATGCACATTAAGGGTACGACTCCATGTCCTTATATGAAAGTCGACTCTAACCAAAATTGTTTTGGAAATGGTATTAAGTACCATTTGTAATATACCATATATATTTTGACTTTAATAGAGTATTAAATGGTTCAAAGTAAGAGAATTGTTTATGCACATAATTACAATTCAAAAGCCCCGAGGGTCTCCTAAAGTTTGTAAAAATCATGGTTGTACTTCCATTGTCATTTCGAAATTGCTCAATGTAGAGCCATAATATTTGGCATACAGCTTCTCTATGAATAAGCCTATGATTTTAATATAATAGATCTGAGATATTACCAAATTTTTATATTACATGTTGCAAAATAATTTGTTTTGCAAATGATAATTTTTGGAATACAATGCTTTATTGGCAAATGAACTGATATCTATGTAAAATTTTTGTTTAAGAATCATAGATCTGATAATGGTCTATCATCATAGATCCTTATAAAATTTTACTAGAAATCATTGAAGTAGTGATACCTATCTTATTATGAACTGTTAACATTGTATATGTAATTTTGGAAATATGCACCATAAGGCAGATATTATATGATCATCTTATTAATGTAATTACTAAGTTTGTTTGCTTTATAACTCACTAGATGGCATAGACATGTTTTGTTTGTAAATACAACTGAACCAAATCAATAACTGAAGATGGTTGTTTTAGAAAAACTTCATACGTCGTACTGACATATAAAGAATGTACAAGTTTTTTTTAAAGGTTTCTCAATCTTTCAACATATTAAATATAGAGGAACTTACTGTTTCATTGCTACTACATTTTTTTCAGGTAGGAAAAAATTAAAATTACAGGTGTGATGAAAATCATGTTTCTTAGTGTATCTGAAATAATAGTATCAATGAACACACAGCTAATTTGTTGTTTGTATATATGTATATATTGTCATTGTGTTTCCATGTTCTTCTCAGTTAAGCAATACTACAAATAAAGTTTATAAAACATGGAATTTACAGTGAATGCTAGTTGTCTGTATATCTAAGATTATAATAGGCCATATGATACAAAAGAAATTATCTAATTTCTGCTTTTAGGCCCGAAAGTGAACTGAATACGTTTTCATGAGTTTTTAACATGCTAAACACTCATGGTTTATTATGCAACTTGAACAAAATTCATACATTGATTTTTAAGTGAGCACAAAACATCAAAATCCTATAAATGGTTTGAATAATGTTTTACTCAGCATTTCTTCCACGCCTATAATGAGCAATTTATGTTATATTTGCTTATGTTTCAATATACAGATATAAATAAATCAGCAACCAAAGCACCTCCAGTTCATCAGAATCTTACAGCAAAATTGAAATATTATGATTCATCAAAACTGTATGTATAATTTCATATATATATATATATATATATATATA